CTAAAACGCCAAATTTTTAAAACAAAAATTTGTGCTCCTGGCAGTGCTCAGGACCTGCTTCTTTGTGTAACTTACTCCTCTGTGTTCAGGGATCACTCCAGGCAGTGCTTAGGGAACCATATAGGGATCCAACCAAGGAGGCCATGTGCAAAGCAAACTCTTTAATTCCTGCACTATATATTTGGCTGCTGGATTGTTAGATTCTTACTCTTAAATTTTGGTACTCCAGAGTTGTTGCCAATTCTTTCAATGAATTTTATCAAATGTTAATATGGAAATTATGATAATGATGATAATGGCACCGATGGATACTTGCAATGAGGGCTTTCTAGTCATTGTCTCATTTAAACCTTACAGTAACTGTGAGGTATTGGTATTAATATTTTAAGATGATGTGTGTTTAGCGACTTACATGCTTATAAAGATTTGTAAAAGAGGTAGAGCTGAGAAATTAACCTACTCTGGTCACCTGAAAGGTTCTGTTCTTATGTAGTTCACTATGTTGCCTCTAGTACCAATTTTGGGGCAGGAATAGTAGTTAACATGCATTGAGTATTATGTTCTAGGACTTTTTGGAGCATGCATTGTTATTCTGCATATTTTATGAGGAATTACTATAATTTTCCCAAAGAGAAACAAAGTGGAAAGACATTAACTTGGATAAGATTACACTGTTAGGAAGTAGTTGGACAGGGATTCAGAGCTCTCATTCGCATGGATGTGGGGACGCAGAGAAGGGATACTGGCTCCTGTGTGTGGTAGGGCAAGCTCTAGGGCCGCAGCTGCTAATGCTTAGGGGCCATGTTGCACCAAGTTATAACTCGGGTCCCTGCTCATGCAAAGCATGTGCCTGAAACCACTGAGCAATCTGCCTGACCCCTATAGTAACTGTGTGTGTGTGCGTGCATGCGTGTGCTTGCGTGTGTGCGTGCACACGCATATGTTGAATCATGTGTGGGTGCTCAAGCATCCTTGCCTACATAGTGAAGGAGGTAGGTAGGTAGGTAGGTAGGTAGTGTCTCCCTATAATGACTGATGACTTTTATTTATTTTAATTTTATTTTTTGCTTTTTGGATCACACCCTGCGATGCACAGGGGTTAGTCCTGGCTCTGCGCTCAGGAATCACTCCTGGCGGTGCTTGGGGGACCATATGGGATGCTGGGAATTGAACCCGGGTTGGCTGCATGTAAGGCAAACGCCCTACCCGCTGTGTTATCGCTCCAGCCCCAGACTGATGACTTTTAAAGACAGCAAATTGTCTCAGGTGAATGTATCTCTCTTTGTAGAGTAACATACTATGTTTGTCCTTCATCATGGTTTGATATGTGCAGACTTTGCTTAAGCATGGAGTCTCTCTTGGCTATTTTTCTGTAAAGAAACTGATGTCAATAAATCTTAGTTTTTGCACTAAATTTTACTTGTATACTTCCTGTATACATTTTATTGGGAATCTTAGGCCCACGTCACCAGAAATGGAAATACTGTAAAGATACGACCTTTACAATGTTTTCTTTCTTTTTTTCTTTTGGCGGGATGTAGGGCTAGGTACCAAGCGTGCTCAGGGCTTATTCCTGGCTCTGTACTCTTGGATCACTCCTGGAGGGTATTGGGGGTACCATATGGATTTACACAACATTGTGTAAATTTAATGTATTGATCTGCTACATTCGTTTTGCAAAGTGACTTTATTGTGAGACCAGGTAACTTGGATATCATCTCATAAAGCAAGGGCGACCAGCTGTACTTTCAACAGGGTTCTATCTGTAGGCCATTCTCAGTGCCGCCACAGTAATTAAAAAATAAATTTTGATTATTCATGGAAATTTAATAGCTAACAATTAAATTTATAAACAAAAATATTGTATTTCAGCCTTAGGTAAAAGCTAAAATTTGGAAAACAATATTAGTAAGTAGATTGAAATTCATATTTTAAACGTTAATGTTTATGTGCGAGATTACAATCAATTTAGGATCCTCCTTATTTTCCTGCACAGTGTTTATTTTTTGATAGGGACCATGTTGAATTAGCTGAATAGTTCTTAAATAAGTGAGTTTTGGAATAAAACTCACAGAAATTCTCCCCTGTTAACAATAGACCATCTTAGAAATATGTTTGGTAAGTTGATAGTAATAGAGGAAATATGTTGCATTCAAGGCAGCACCTTCGTGGTGTTAATTTCAGTGCCAGAGCTAGGTCACAATGCATTTTCTGCATACCAAATCATCTGCATACCTCTTCTGAAGCTTAAAATAATAGGATCTATTCATAGATAATCTTTTTCTTTGAAATTGCAAAAACAGTTGTAAAATTTAGCAGAGGGTAATTAGATAACTTTAAACATTGTTCTAATCTTTTTATTTAATAGTATTTACGGATATTTGCTTGAAGAATTGCTTACATTAATTCTAACATGGGATGGTATTAGACTAGTTTTATTGCTAAGAGATAAATGACTTACTAATTGCAACAAGTTGTACATGGAGAAAAAGATTGCTTTTTCTCTTGCCAATATATTGGTATAAGATTTTAGTTTAATTTTAAGTGCTGTTAGGAAATTTTGTGTATCTGTACACTTTAAAGTCCTAGCGGATAGGGTGTTGCCTTGCAGGCAGCCAACATGGCTGATCCAAGTTCGATTCCTTGGAGAGCCCGGCAAGCTACCGAGAGTATATTGCCCTCACGGCAAAGCCTGGCAAACTACCTGTGACATATTCAATATGCCAAGCACAGTAACAACAAGTCTCACAATAGAGATGTTACTGGGCCCGCTTGAGCAAATTGATGAACAACGGGAGGACAGTGACAGTGACAGATATAAACTTAAAAAACAAAAACAAAAACAAGTAGGAGCTGGAGATGTAGGTCAGTAGTAGAGCACTACTTATCAAATTTTTGGTTCCCTTGTTCTATTCCCAGCAGCCACCTGACCCCCAACACATAGGCATATTAATAAAATATCCTCTTTAAAAACCAGATAATCTGATTATTTGAAATAATTTTGTGCAGGATACTGGAATCATAAATTTTATATATCATGCAATTAAAATTTTTATTTCGGGCCATGCCTGGCTGTGCTCAGGACTTCTTCCTGGCTTTGTGCTCAGGGGCCACTCCTGGAGGTGCTCAGGAAACCTTACGTGGTACTGGGGATGGAACGATTGTCTGTTGTGTGCACGGCAGGCATATTAACCCCTGTGCTCTCTCTGATCCTCAGATTAAAAATTTTAATTATAATGTGTTTATTTTTGGAACTTGAAAATTGCAGATAAGGAAAAAAGAAAGTTAAACATTTGTATTCCTGTAACCTAGGTAACTGAATACCTTGGCATCTATTTCTTCAGGTATTTTTCTCTGTGGTGTTTATACAAAGCATACATAGGTCATTTAGAAATTTTTTTTAAAGTTCTTTGATTCTCCCTGTAATATACTTCCTAAACGGTGACTTTCCTGGCTTGTCTGGATTTACAGCTCAGCCTAAATGTCATCTTTCATTGAGAGCTTCCTCAACATTGTAGGTCTACTAGTACTTTTTCTTGTCCAAGTAGACTGTAAAGTCTAAGATAGTAGCTATTGCTTGTCTTAGCGTCATATTCCTAGTGCCCAGAAGTGTCCTTGGCATAGAGTATGCATTTATTGTTTTTATTTATTTTGCTTTTTTGGTTCACACCTGACAATGCTCGGGTTATTTCTGGCTCTACACTCAGGAATTATTCTGGCGGTGCTGAGGGTGTGTGTGTGGGGGGGGCGGGGGGGGGGGAAATGGACGGACAGTATGGGATGCCGGGGATTGGTTGGCCAGGTGCAAGATAAATGCCCTACCCGCTGTACTATCGCTCTGACCTCCAGAGCAAGCATTTAATGTTTGAGTGGATGTTTGACATTACAAAAATAGAATTAGATTGTGCATATGTTAGATGCTTGTGGAAATAAAGGGTTCTTAGATTACTTGCACTCCAGAGGAAATACCTATTATCTATGTTAAGTTCTGTGGTAGGGGAAAATGCAGTGCTCAAGGAACACATTGGTAGAACTACCTATCCAGATTGAGTGCAAGAGGATGGTTAAGATTTTCTAGAAGAGTGACAATGTATTTTTGTGATCTTGTCTTTGTTCATTCTTTTTATCTGTAATAGTAGTTGGGTATTTTATCAGTCTGTAAGTGCTAGAGTTTTGTCAGTATCTTATCATTAGACAAATTGGGGATTCCCTTAAATTTTTTTGAGGGTATATGAACCATACTTAACAGTTTTAGGAGGCTACTCTGGACTCAGTGCTTGGGGGATCTTTTTGGCATTGTTCAAGGAAGTCATGTGCCAGGGATCTGGCCCAGGACTCCAGTATGCTGAATGTGTGCTCCAGCCTTTGGAGATCTCTCTCCCTGCTGTCCCCACCCCTTTTTATTTTAAATAATAATGTCAATATTTTTAAGTATTTCAATCATTTTCATAGGTACGTTTTTTGGTTGTTGGGCATGGAATTTTTGAGTCTGAGAATTGTAAATATTTTCAGGGCTCCATGAAAGTTGTCCTGGTTTATACTTTCAGCAACAGTGTAGCAGAAGGCTAAAAGAAGATTTTTGCCAATTTGTTAGGCAAAATTACGTTGATACTTGTTTTGCCTTGTTTGATTTGCCAATATGTATTGTGATAACCTTAATCTATAAATTGACAAAATATGATAGGCTTTATTTTAGATTTCACAGTGATTATTGAAATATTCCATATTATAGGCATATGTGAAATTATTTGGATATTTGCTTTAGTTTTGATTGTGAAGTCACATTAAATCTTTAAGCTTACCATTCTATTGTTATCATAGCCTTCAATCCCATAAAAATGATTGTTTCAATATTTTATGTCATTCATTTTATAGACACGTAAGTGTATTGATAAATTTAGAGAAATTTAAGAATCATTTATTATGTCATTTGGGATCAGATATCTTGTATGCTACCGCTTAGACCTAGCAACTAACTTCTTTTTAATTATTGTGGCCAGAAACACCAGATGAAAATGGTAAAACCCAGAGAGCTGATGATTTTGTCTTGAAGAAAATAAAGAAGAAAAAGAAAAAGAAACACCGAGAAGATATGCGAGGAAGACGCCTTAAAATGTACAATAAGGAAGTACAAACCGTCTGTGCTGGTCTGACCCGTATCAGTAAGGAAATTCTCACCCAAGGACAAATAAATAGCACTTCAGGAGTTAATAAGGAGTCCTTCAGGTATCTGAAAGATGAACAGCTGTGCCGGTTAAATTTGGGAATGCAAGAATATCGGGTACCCCAGGGAGTACAAACACCTTTTATGACTCACCAGGAACATTCTATTCGTAGAAATTTCTTAAAAACAGGTACTAAATTTAGCAACTTTATTCATGAGGAACACCAGTCCAATGGTGGTGCTCTTGTCCTTCATGCTTACATGGATGAACTCTCATTTTTGTCTCCAATGGAGATGGAGAGATTTTCTGAGGAGTTTCTTGCTTTGACATTCAGTGAAAATGAGAAAAATGCTGCTTACTATGCTTTAGCAATAGTGCATGGAGCAGCTGCTTATCTCCCAGACTTCTTGGATTACTTTGCTTTTAATTTCCCCAACACTCCAGTGAAAATGGAAATTCTGGGCAAGAAAGATATTGAAACAACCACCATTTCAAATTTTCACACTCAGGTAAGGTAAAAGCATTGTTAAATGATGTGGTAAATGCAGTTTTAATATTTTGAAAGTGTTAACCTCATTTTGTTGTATAGCATATACCAGCATACTTTTGAGACTGAATTTATGGTTGTAAAGTTTCCTCTAATTGAAAGAGCTCCGTTGTTGAATTCTTAGGAATATGGCTTGTTTTTTGTTTGGTCTGAGAAGAACTTTGTGCACGGTTTCAAGTCTTTATGAAAAACTAGCTTGAAAAGTAATCCAGTCTTTCACACATCTGGCAATGTTCCTATGAAGGATATAATTTAGATCTGGTAGCCTCAAGATAACTTTATTAAGACTTACCTTTTACAACATAGTAAAACACATGAAGACTTTGACCTTTGCATTTTTCAGGTTTTTGCTGTTTTATTTCTCTTCTTTCAGTAACTTGTTGGCAGTCTATCCCACAAACATACCCCATTTATGTGACTGAGAAGTGTCACTAGGAAGACCGCCATAGCCTCTGCTCCTTTTGCCTATGCTCTTATTGTAGATAAAGACATTTTTCTGAAGCCTTGCTTGGGCAGCTAGGCTTAAGTCAGCAGGGAAATTACGCCTTCCTAATTGGTGATTTTTAACCAAACTTTTTTTTTTAAATGAATTTTATTAGGGCATGCAGAGTTGGTAATGTGTCCTAGGTTTTTTCTTGCTTGCATTTCTCATAAGAATCATGAGTATGAATGGTCAGCTATAAGTTTGTATTATAGTTATAAGGTCTACTTAAAACTAATGAAGAATTTGATTATATAACCTATATTTTTTCAGGTTATCTTAATAATTGCTGCCATTCTTTCCTTGAGGTTTTTTTTTTGTTTTTTGTTTTTTTTAGGTAAATAGAATGTTGCATAAGACTCTCAGCTGCCTGTATTATAGCGGTTTCAAGCCACTTAAGACTTACTTGAAACCTCCTCTAACTTGAATCTTTTTAGTGATTCTTACCTTCCTTGCCTCCAATGAGGGGAGTATCCATTTTAGATTTATGGGCATCAGAATTTCTCTAATTGAAGTTCTCTCTGCAGTAGAGAGAGCAGGAGCAGCCAATCTGGAGAGGTCGCAAGATGGGGCTGCCCACGATGTTGGAACACGATGTGCAATAAAGGGCTTCGTCTTGGATTTTGGCCTTGTTACCACAATCAGGTACCGAAGTGCTGACTTTTGTAGTAGATTTTGGTTTTTCTTTTTTCTTTTTTCTTTTTTCTTTTTTTTAAAAGGAGTTTGGCCCTTTGAAGGTTAAGAAGTCCTATTTTTATTACTATTGCAGAAGAGACTGAAAACAGTTCTCCCTAATATAGCTCATAACCTCTATAATTTCCATATAACAAACGTATTGCTGAGAGCAGAACTAACATGCTCGATCACTTTTTTAGTTTAGAAAAATGGAGCAAAATTTCTCTTCTGATTAATAAACCCGCAAGCATAATGGGAAATAAGCCAGAAATTTTGGTGGTGGTGGTGGTGGGGGGGGGGAAATCTTGGTTTGTAATGGTGACTTCAACTTTCACATTAGTTTATAGTGAACCAAAGTTTATCAGTAGTCAGAATTCAATATAAACAGTTAAAAGAAATTCTCTAGATATTCCCTGCTGATTTTTGTCCTCCAGTTAATTAAATTTTTTTGTAATGGAGCTGAAGTTTAAATGACTGTACCAACAACTTACCTTGAGAGTTACTTTGAGATTTATAAAATAACCAATTTTTAAGTACTTAACAGATTATTAATAAATTAGGTATCATTAAACACCTCAACCATATACTAAAAGTCTTTATGCCCCAGTGATTCTGGAACTTAATTTTATTTATGAGAAGTCATTGGATAGATGGAGTAGATATGAAAGGCTGGATTAATCCATGAAATTTAATTAAAATATACACTACAGAAATCTTTGGCAGAAATTGGAGTAAAAGCTAACACAATAATCTATATTCATTTAGCATTTCCTAGTTTATCGAAATGCTGTCAGTCATAGCTGAATATTTTAAACAGTCTGTTGGGGATAAGCAATTTGATGTTTTCCGATGAAGAAACTGAGGCTTCGAAATACTCACTGATACTCAAGGTCATGTAGTAGTAAGTAGAAGAGTGCAAACCAAGATCTCCTGAACACGGTGTAAATCATTTTACAACACTATTTCCTTCCTTTAGCCCTTGGAGAAGAGTAATGCTTTTATTTGTCTAACATTCTACTCAATGAAATCAGTTTATCTCAATTTAAAACAAGATTTAGAAGGGATTGTTTCTAATATTTTTAACAAATACCTTTGGATTTTGGGTAATTAAGTGAACACCTTGGATATTTTGAACTTCTGTTCTGTGAAATTTTATGAAGTTCTATTAAATCTAAGTAGAGAATTTTTTTTATTACCTTAGAGAGTTATTGGAAGTTGTTTATTGTTTAATTTGTTGCCATAGTAATTATTCATGACTATATTTCAAGATACTCAGAAAACATTGAGAACCTACCATATATTGGACTTTCTGTTCTTAATAGGACTAATTGATGAGCTCAATCGAATGGAGGAGATGAATAAAGCAGCATGTATAATACAGTCTTGTAAGTGCTAGAATAGAGGTATGCATAGGAAAAACACTGTAAAAGGCACACAGTTTGTGGTGTTACCTGCCTTGAGGTGATTAGAAAAGACATTTTAAAGTTTGTGTTACTTGAGTAGAATATTAAAGCAGCTTAGTACTTAGCTTAGAAAGGGCATTTTATTTTATTTAAAATTTTTTTTATTTGATTTTATTGAATCACCGTTAAGATAGAGTTACAAAGATTTCTTGTTTGAGATTAAGCCGTACAATGATCAAACACCCATCTTTCCACCAGTGCACATTTTCCACCACCAGTGTTCCCAGTATCCCCTCCCCTCCACTATCCCAGTCCTCACCCTGCCTCTGCAGACAATTTCCCCAATATTCTCTGTCTACTTTTGGGCATTATGTTCTGCTCAGATTTTCCCAACACCATTTAAGCCTGCCTGCCAGGGGCAGACGCTAGATAATTTATTTTCCATTGCTCATTTTGAATATCTGAGAGCTCATACGACTGCTTTTGCTGCTGTGCGCTTCTGCAATTCTAGATTGTAAATGGTTGGGTTCCAGAGACATCGCTGTAGGGCACTAATCCATCTTGGGATTCAATTGTGCATCTCTGGGCCAGGGCTGTTGGTGTGCTAAAATGGTGCCTGGAGGCAATTTATGGGCGTGACAAAACAGCCTGTCTTCTGGGTGAGGACCCGGGGAGGACAGCCCAGGTCCTCTGCTGCCAAGCAGCATGGAGATTCATTCCTGGAACATGCATACCTGGACCTTGCTTGTGGAAGCTCTTGATCACTGGGATTCCATCTGGAGTGGGCGGCGAGACTGCACCTGCTCCATCTGGGTGAAAATGGCCCAGTTGGGGCCTGGAGAGCTCTCTGGCACTGTGGTGTCAGGAAGGGTATTTTAAGCAAAGGGAATTACTGTCTATGCAAACACACAGAGGCTTCAGAGACTGACTTTGTCAGGGAGCTTCAGTAGTTTAACAGGGCAAGTGCCCATGTTAAGGGCAAGTTAAGCCCAAGGTTAAGGGATCAAGTGGTAGAGCATGTCTTGCATGTGTGGGTCCCTCAGTCTGATCCCTGGCACCATATGATTCCTGCAGCAGAGATGATAATAGAGAGATGAAAAAGAAATGAATAAAAAATTGTTTTGTTTAAAGATAATGGAGACTTGTTGGTGAATTTGAGTAGAGGACTGGTATCAAGCCATGCTTGCAGAGATTATACTAGTGTGTGGAGGATAGACTTGAGGGGTAAAATGCGATTGGACGTAAGATTGATTAGTTACTATGGAAACCAGATCAGCATCCATTTTCAAATAGTATTGATATTGGAAAGGAAGGAGATAAAACAAGGAATGTTTAAAAGATGAGATTAGTTGTTCTTGATGGGAGGCATGGATATAAGGTATGGTATGGTTTGGGAAAACAGGTAGCTCATGCTGGTAACAAGATGAATGTGAGACTGAAAAAGCTGATTTCTAAAGGTGGTAGATTTTGATAAATTCAGTTGGTTGGTGATAGCAGTGGAGATTTAACAAGGGTTAGAGATGTCTCAGGTAGTTAAACATTTGAATTTAAGATTGGGTCACATGATTAGACTGGAGATACAGAGATTGGCTCCATTAATGTGTAGGTGATTCAGAGACATCACCTTCATATGAAGGATGAAGCTGGAGATGGGCTGGGGAGGGGGCTCAGAAGGCTGGACAGTGCCTGGCACCAAGTTCTGTTTCCAATTCCCAGCATCCTCTGGCTCCCCATTGCCTCCTGAGCACTGCCAGGGAGAGCTCCAGTCTGCTGGGTCTGAGCAGAGCCGCACCACTGGACTGAAACATTGAACCGTGAAGAAAATTAGAAATAATTACTATGAATAGAAGAAGAATTAGTGTCGCAGGTTGTGGCCCATGAGCCCTCTGAGCAATGCTTGGTAGCTTGTCTCCTTCCCCCCTAAGAGATGAATGGAAAATACTGGGTCACTCAGTTGGATTTTAATTAGGAACATTTTCAAGATTAGAACTTTTCAAACCATGGCCATTTAAGCATTGTAAGCTTTTGTTTTGTTTTATTTTTTAAAAAGCTTGATACATAGTAATGTGCTCTGATTATAAATTTGGCAATTTGGCTTTCCCAAGGAATTTGTGTGAAAGGCATAATTTAGGGCCCTATGTCGATCTGCTGAATTAAAATTTACATTTTCACAAGATCTTTTCTGATAATTAATAAACCTGTTGAGGTTTGAGTAGGACTCATCTCCACTATTTAGAAGTAAATGTACAGGTTTGTTCAATAAAATTATATCTTGTTATTTTTTATAGCTTTTTTTTATTATGGTAAAGCTAGGATGCATATGTAGGTTGTTGTTGTTTAACATTCTTCAAGGCACATACTCTGCCTACCGGTTTTATCACTTCAGCCCTCTAAGCTTTTGTT